AGGGCCGACCAGACACAAAGAAGCAAACAGGCAGATGAGGGAAGGCTGAAAAGACAGCAGGCAGCCAGGCCCAGCAGCACACGTGCGAGGCCAACCCTCATGGCAACACCAGTGGAATAGTCCAAGCCAACACAAGTGAGCCAAATCCTGAGCTCATTTTAATGGCTTCTGTCCCAAACCTGAGTCACTGGGGATTCCATGGACTTCTAAGAGAACCCTACATGCGTTTCTAAAAACAAACTGCTGATGCTGTCATGGAAAACCTGGATCTTTGCATTCTACAGTTTCATTATGGATTACATCCAGGTCACAACCTGAGGAAGACAAGCTGGCAGCAACCACCCTGCCGGCTGCGTGCCCAGCCTTTGTAATCAGTCCCGGAGGACTATGGCCTGATGTGTGCTTCTGGCTCTGCCAAACAAGTCCTCGCCTAGGGACCACCAGTCAGCCTGTGAGTTAGTCTGTGAGGGGAGCCTGCAAAGGCACCTGCAGTCAAGGCTCCACTGCTAGCAGCTGCCTGCAGAGAGGCAAGGTCTAGAGACTGTGTGTCTGCTGGAAGAGGAAAGGGAGAAGTTCTTAGTTTTCCTGTCAACTTAACTGCTATCTTCTGCTTAAAAACAGAAAAAAAAAATTGCCCCAAGAACACCCATAGTCACACCAATGCCAGAGGACTGCTCTGCACTCTTCAGCCCCCACACAGGCAGGCTACGAAGGGGCCAGGGAATGGCCCTATACAGCACGGTCATGTGTGACTGCAAGCGAACAAGGTCAATTCTGAGGACTAGAGTAGAAACCACTATTCCTTAAAATGCAGCATTTCTAGGGGGCGCATGGGTGGCTCAGTCGGTTAAGCGTCCCACTCTTGGTTTCGGCTCAGGCATGATCTTGCGGTTCGTGGATTCAAGCCCCACATCGGGCTCTGTGCTGGCAGTGCAGAGCCTGCCTGGGATTCTCTCTCTCTCCTTCTCTCTCTGCCCCTCCACCCTGTGTCTCTCTCTCAAAATAAATAAAACTTAAAAAAAAAAAAACCCAAAAAGAATACTTAAAAAAATGTAGTATTTCTAGGAAACATAAAAAAATACTAAAACCTGCCCAGAAAGCAGAAACACTTTAATAAGCAAAGAGCTACCACTTATTAGTTACTGTGTCCCCACTGTGCCTAAGCCTTTCTTCTCATATACTGTCTAATTTCATCCAGAGAACAACCCTGAGGGATGTACTACTATTATACTCATTTCACAAGTGAGAGAAACGGTTTAGAGAATGAAGTCAATCACTAGACATTTCGCAGCCACTGTAAGGGGAGATCAGGACTGACTCAGGGCCAGGTGAGGCTTGACCTCTAATCACTGCTGGGACTGGAATATTGAACACTAAAGGCATCTGTGCATAGGGATTTCAGAGGTGTCCAACCAGTGCCCACCAGCAGGCTAGACCTTGAACGTAAATCCTGTATCTGGGTTAATAGTCAATGCTTGTATCTTATTGTTACATTGAAGGACCTAGATTTTCAGATTTCCACTAAGGTAGCAAATTCTTTCACACCTACTTCTAAATTCAAAATATCCAAATTTGATGATTTATGTTACACTTTCTACAGGCAATGAGGCCAAACAAACCTAAGGCCTGTTCATTCGTTAAAATTAGTCACAGCAAAGGAATATGCCTACACCAGCTTGTCATTTTTCTTCTAGTTATATTTTACTAAAGTGTCACTTTTGCCAAAATGAAAGTCGTAAGGACAAACGCGGTGTGAGTATATTTCCGAAGAATGCTTTTGTTGCCCTGGCAACAACTCCTTTCTCACCATCTGTTCCCACATCACATAGATCCAGGGCTGAGAAACGGGGTGGGGGGAGAGGAGAGACGGATGCTCACAGCTGCAACAAGTCCTTGGCTGAGGCTGGGCAGACCAGATGCTATGACATCTTGGCTGACAGGAGAGAAAGCAAGTCAGCTGTTTCAGATGCTGGTGGGGCAACTTCCTCAGCTGTAGCTTCAAGGACCATGGCTGCCACGGACACTGCCTTGAACGACCTGGTGTAGACCTCCAGGAGGAAGGAAAGAGCCCACTGAGCACCCCTTACAGATGTGCCCCCTGCCCCCCAAAACATAGGGAGTCGCCTGCTGAATGCTTATTCCCTGATAGCTGTGATTTCTGCTGCAAGAGGGCGCCGCTATGCTGGCAGCAGAAGGGACTTCCTGTACTTCAGTTCTTAGCCTGAGATCAGTGTGCCCTAGAGAGGTAGTCTCACTACACGGGAATCTCTGTCTCTTGCCAATTCAAATTTTGAAGCAATTTCAGACTTTCTGGGGTGCTCTGTGTATGCACAGGGAACATAAATGATAAAGATGGGGAGAAAGTTCTCTCAGAACATCAGGACTTCGGGAGTTGGACAGGTGACCAACAGACTTACACCTCAGGTATACTCCTACTTCTTTCTTTTCAACTCTGCTTCCCAGAAGCGTGCCACAGCCAGAAAGAAAGATAAGTCAGGAATAACTCACTGGAGTGTATGAATAATACCTAAGATACGTACTGATCTTTGTGCCAAAATGAATCTTCTTGCCGTCTATATGAAATAGCAAATAGGAGCACCAAAAGATGTGTTGGACTAATCCTCATTCTTAGAGATCGAATTTTCTGGACTAACACCTTATAAAAAATTGCATGTAAATAGTCTGTAAGACTGAAAGGGTATCTATAACTTGCTTCTGAATGACTGTAAAAAGACAGCTTGTGGTGTTACTCCCCGAGATGCCCTACTCATACTATAAATGGCCACTGATTCGCTAGAAGGCATGAAGTTTCTCAGGATGAAAAGCATTCTTGGGGATGATAAGCCAGGCGTTTTGCCTGCATACCAGCGCTTTGATAAAATTCAGAGTAAAGGCATGAATCATCAAGGATGAAGAAGTACAACACAGTAAGGAAAAATTACGCAGAAATCCACTTCTCTGGTCAACCAGGACTGTTAGACAGGATTAATAAATTGTGTATGCTGCCTTCCCTTCATCTACATGTTTATTCTGATTTTTCAAAAAGCCTTTGGTAATAGTTCTCGGCAAAAATTTTAAGACATACACAGCATATTTGCACCCAGATAAATCTCATTTAACATTTCTGGGAGGGAAAATGCCAAGCTGAAAGGGATAAACTGCAGATTCCAGAAGTGAATCACAAAGGGGATAATGAGCTTCGCAGAATCAAAAATCTAAGATACGGTCATATTTTCCAATCTCCTTATTTTAAAAAAATTTTTAAAGTTTATTTTTGAGAGAGAGAGAGAGAGAAAGAAAGACAGCATGAGCAGGGAAGAGGCAGAGAGAGAAAGAAGACAACAGGATCCAAAGCAGGCTTCAGGCTCTTAGCAGTCCGCACAGAGCCCAACATGGGGCTCGAACTCATAAGCTGTGACATCATGACTTGAGTCGAACTTGGCTGCTTAACCAGCGGAGCCACCCAGGTGCCCTTCAAGAGGCACCCTGCAAGAGGAATGCCAAGGTCCAGAGTGGTGGCACACGTATCTCAAGCAAAAGTGAAAATCAGAATCCTGGCCTCCCAAATTCTGAGAGTGCATAGGAGTGCTTGAGTCATTCATTGCACGGCTACTCCTCTCAGATGAAGAGATGAAAGACTTGAGAGTATATCCCCCACGCAGACAGATCAGGACTGGGGAGGAGGTCGTCTGTCATTTCTCTAGGCCCCTTATCCACCAACCTCCACGCACATATATAGAGAGAGAGGCTCCCCTAAGATAGGAGAAACAGAAAACATGATCTTATCAGCTGTTTGGAAGATAACTGTTGTCTGATCTGATTTGGAAGCCAGCCCTGCTGTGCTTAAGAGTTTGCGATTAGGCAGACTAGAGTTAATTCAGCTGGGGTCTGTTTCTTTACAGGCCTGGACACCAGGCTCTGTACTTCTCTTCACTGTCGAAGAGTCCCACACACAAAGCTTTAGGATGTGCTGGGGGATGAGTCACCTGTGCACTCTACTTAGGGTTGTAGGTGGATTACTGTTCTCCTGTCAGAGATCCGATTAATAAATCCGTTGGTTATGATTGCTTAAAAAGGGAGTTTTTCCCCCTGAAAAGTCAAAGCACAACTCTATTCCTTAGTTCCTTGAGGATGCCTACAAACTGCCGCATCTGTGTCTCTGTGTGTGTATTTCTGCCAACGAGAATAAATCCCTTGAGCCTAGACAGACTGATACCCTCTCCCGTCAGGATCCACCTTTCAAACCCAAATAGGAAAGGCTACCAAAGTGCTGGTGGGCACGGAAGTTTTCTTGCAGCTCACAGCTGCCCCTCGGGGATCATTTTTCTTCCACCAATGGCTAACAAGCTCATTAGTGAGAAATTCCCTGAAAGTGGAACAGTTCGTTTGTATCTTCTGATCTGAATGCAGAGAACATTCTGTCAGGCTCCAGGAGACAGACAATTTAAACCAGAACATTATTAAGCACAGAGCAGCTGATACTAATTCCTTCCCAGCCCGCTGCTTCTCCTCCTCAAACTGAAATCATCCTGCGGTTGGGGATGAGGCTGGGCGGGCGGCAGGACCATGTCACCGCCTTGGAATGAACGCCCCGCACTCACATTCCTCCCTAGCACGGGGCGTCTGCTGCAGGTGGGCCTCTCCCACCGTATTTCCAAAAGGGGACGCGCTGAGGTGGAAAGCAGGCTTTTAATTTTACGGGAAAAGCAAAAAACCGGACAAGTCACTCAAACAAAATCCATCAACTTAGAACCCAAGGAAAGAAGCAGTGAAGAAATACATGAAATAAAGAACCAGGGACAGTGTAACGGTTCGGGAAATGGGAGCGATGGGGGGGGGGGGGGGTACGCGCCTGAGGCCGGGAACACGCGTCACAAAAGCAAAACCGACTGGACACAAGCCGGTCTTCACAAGGGGCAGGAAATGAATGCAGCAGGGGCGCGCGGCACACGCGCTGCACGGTCCCCCCCCGCCCCCCCCGCGTCTCCCCGCACGCTTACCTGCGATGCCTTGCAGTAGCCCGCAGACGTTGAAGATACTTTTCTTCATGATGCTCTGCACACACATGGTGAAGACGGACACCAAGGCCACCATGCAGAGAATGAAGATCCCCACGGCCAAGAAGATAGCCGTGGCCTGCCAGAAGCCACTGGCGATCTCGCCGAAGGTCTCTGCGTAGGGCCCGCACAGCGTCTCCCGCTGCACGTGCTGCATGCCCGGGTTGCGGATGCAGCGGGCATAGATGCCCAGGGTCGGGTGGTAGGGCTCCGAGGAGCCTCCGCTCCGGTCGTCGGGCTCGGCGCCGCCGCCGCCGCGACTCTTGGCTTTTCCAATTAGCCAGTCGGCGCTCATGAAGGCGATGAGCTCTGCAAAAGCCACCACAATACTCAGGAGGGTCCAGAGCATCGAGCGACAGGTGACAATAACATGACACATATTGATGTTCCAGGCGGGAAAGTCGGGAGTCCACGGGGTGAACAATAAAAGCAGCCGGAGGGGGCGGAGGCTCAGGGGGCCGCAGAGGGAAGTCGCTGCTCCGGGCGCTCACTCCCACAGCCTGGGGCTCCTTCTGGCCGGCCTCTGGCAGCGCGGGCCCGGGCCGTCATGCTGCCATGTCAGAGCTCCGCGCGCCGCCGCACCTACGGGAGGGAAGGGAGGAGGGGGGTTAGCGGCGCGCAGGCTCCGCCCCGCGGCGCCGCCGCCGGCAACCCCGCGGGTCCCGGACCCCCGCGCGGCCGCCCTTCCCCGCCCGCCGCGCCGCGCCCGGTGCCGCCACTGCAGCCTCCAGCCTCCGACTGAACGCAGCTGTAGCGGGTCCCGGGCCCCGAGCCGGCGCCCGCAGCGCACTTAACTGGTTTTCTTTGTTTCAACTTCTCCCTTCCCGTAATCTCACCCAGGGCTGGTTCCCTTATCTCCGGGCGGCACAACTCCCGGCCAGGGCCAGTTCCTGCACCCACCCCAGGCGCACCCTCTGGCACAGGAGCTGCTGCCGCCTTGGGATGTATGGGTCCTGCTCCATCATCCCTCCCTCCGAAACGTCAAACAGCAGGGAGATCCAGAAAGAGCCAGATAGCACTTGCAGTGAACCTTGCCAACAGTCTGGCTGTTTTTACGGAGCTTACGGGACTCTCTGCCTTCTGTCCTGGTACTAGTTGAGCTAAGTTTTGACAAACTTGCACCAAAAGGTTTTACTTAAAGAGTAGCAACACCCACTTTTATTGCCTGGGAATCAAATTAGCAGCACAGACAAAATAGTACTCGCTTCATAGGTGCATGAGGAAACAGTGCGCTGAAAAATAACAAAACACTGCTCCTCCAACTTATGTATTCATTTCTCACCGGGTGATTTCTGGACAAAAAAACCTACACGAGTTAAAACTCAAAGAAGAAGAAAAGAAAACCTTGAAGAGTTCATGACTTACTCATTTGGGGAAATTACTCAAAACACAGGCATTAATGACCACTGACTAAGTGTCATTACCACTGAGTGGACTTGTTGACAACAGAAACTTGCCTGTGAAGAATGCATTCCTTGAACCGTCGCAATTCATCCCATGTGCCTCTGCCTGAGCTTTGATTCACCCCAGGTCTGCAACTCAACATGCCCATTGTTTCTGGTCGCACAAGGGCTCATTCTGTTCCCAGGGACAAATGGCTTCATTACCAGAGGGCTTTGCTCTAACAGCTCAAACCTCCTTCAGAGGGGCCTGAACCCTGAAACGGGTACAGTGCTCATCAGCGGCTCCATCTGCTATCCCTTCTCCAAGGTCAGAAAGAATCTCACAGTTCACAGCTGACATCTGGGCGCAAGGCTCTGTTCTGAGTGATGAGATCTTATTAACTGAGGTCACATCAGCTGCACAAGAACCGCACAGAGCCCCCTGGCATGCTGGCAGTGGGGTGGGGCCAGGAGTTAATTGAAGAGGAAGGGGAGTGGGGAGAGAAGGAAGCCCAGAGTCCAAGCTTGTACACCATGCTAGCGAGAGAGAACTACCTATCTCATAAAACACAGCACATTTAAAAATCCTCACGTCATTACAGTTACACAAAATGCTGTTTTGAGAAATTACCTAGCACAGTACTAGGCCCACAGGCCTTTAATAATTGTCAGTGTGTGTGTGTGTGTGTGTGTGTGTGTGTGTGTGTGTGTGTGTGTAATGCAGCTCTCCTGAGCGCTGGGGAAGGGAGAAGTGCGTTCCACTGCAAAAGTTCTGGAGTCCATCAGGTCCTGGTTCCAGACACAGCTCCACCACCAACTGGCCCTATGGATGCCTAATTCTCAGAGCCGCAACTTCCTCATCTACATGGAAACAGTAAGATCCCCTGCTTCACAGTACTGCTTCGAGAAACTGTCAAGAATATGTTAGACCTCACTGTCTGGTAGAGTAAACACTCACTAAGTATCAAGTCCTTTCCCTTAGAAGTCTTTCCTCGAGCATGGAGGACGCTGGTGAGACGACAACTTAACTGCTCGAAGTGCTCGGCAGATCACAGAAACTTGGCTATTACACGCAATCAAAGATTAAGCACAAGCTATTTAGAGATGGGCGAGGTCACTCGTGTCAGCCTCCTCCGTGGGCTTCTCGGCGGGTTCTGGTCTTCCTCCTTCCCCACCGCCTATCCTGCTGCCAAAATGCTGTGAAATAAAGTAGCATGAGGCCAGAAGCAGAATCTACTCCCACTTGCTCATCTCACCCCCACTCGACCCCAAATACCACCAAAGAGAAATGCCTTTTGAGAGAAGAGTTACGAACACAAAAAAAGCTTTGGGGGAGACTGTTTAGAATGAACCAATCATCCTGAATGAGAACAAGAAACAAGCCCCTGATGACTCCCGGAGGCCCGATAAGCTGCACCCACTTGCCCGCCCACCAGGCTCACAAACCCTTTGAACCAACAGGTGGAAAGCCAGCCCATGAGAAGATGAGGCTTCTACAAAGTCTTTCCATGTGATTAGAATATTAGCTCACTGATGTGCCAGCTGATCTCAATCCCTGCTCCTCTTCCGTTTAATGGAAAAACTTCAATGTGAATATCAAACCTCTATGTGCTTGACCTCTTGCAGAGCCTCAGGACTCTGCTACAACCTCTCTGGTGACCTGGATCTTAAGGAACATGCCAAATGTCCACTGTCCTGGTGGGCAACCTTGGCTCAGAGTCAGGCCTGCTATCAGGCTGCTATTTCTGAAGAGAAAGGATATGAAACTTCTGGAGAACAGAAAGTGGCACATTCAGCCTCAGCAAAATGGTGCATGCCAAATTTAGGGCAGGGTCATTTAGGGAGCCATCGCTTAAGTTCACAAAACATAGCTCTCTGTCCCTCCGTGTACAATAGTCCCCTATCTACTGCACCAAATTCTCACACCCATGCCAGCATGGCTGGAATGAGGCCTTTATTCTTCTGTTTGGAATAGGGAGATAACATGCTTTGGTCTCTCCAGCCAAGTTTGCTAATTACTACTCTAAGTAGAATAGCCATGCTATGCAAGGCTGACCGTCTTTCCTGTGGATCCAAGAAAAGCCCTCGGGTCACTGGGACAAGGGAAAGTCTGGGAAGGCATCATGTGTGTGCTCTGTACAGTGTCCTCGTTTGGCCATGTCACATGTGCAAGGAAAGGCACCTGCTGGGACAACATCCACATCAAAGGGAAAACAGACCCTCCTTGTAGATCTTGTTAACTGTGGGGATTCCAGCACAGAGCCCCTCTATCTGTCATCCACTGCTATTCCCCGTAGTCCCTGCTTCTCCAAAACTCACTTCATGGATGTTCCATGTAAAAGTCTTCTCTCCACAGGCCACTAAATACATGTCCATCTAGGACAGCTGAGTTTACCTTCACATCCCTGATGGTCATGGATAATCTGGACGGTCCTCTGACTTTCAGAAATGATGCTATGATTATCACAAAGGCCCACAGGGTAAAAAGCCTCTTAGCAAGTAATAAGAAAAAACAAAAACAACCAAAAAGAGAATCCAACAATAACCTGCAGTAATACGACAGAATGCAGAGCAAGTGGAAATTGATAAGTCATTTGTTAATGGGAGTTATATATTACACACATACATATGTATAAGATATATATGTTATATATATACACACACAAAGGCCTCATATTATAAACTTTTTTAGTGTTTTTAGTTTTGTTTTGTTTTTTTGAGAGAGAGCATGAGCAGAGGAGGGACAGAAAGAGGAGAGAGAGAGAATCCCAAGCAGGCTCTGCACTGTCAGCGCAGAGCCCAATATGGGGCTTGATCTCACGAATCATGAGATCATGACACAGGCCGAAATCAAGAGTTGGAGACTTAATCAACTGAGCCACTCAAGCCCTCATATTTAAAACATGGGTGAAGGTAGTAAGCTGGGGCCAGCTGGGTCTGTACCTATCTTTGGCTTCCTGCTGTCCGTAAAAAGGGAAGAAGGTACTGGTGAGGCATGATCGCCCCGGGCCAGCCGGTCAGGAGACCACAACAGAAGTGAAGGAGCAGAGGCAAAAGGAAAGGACTTCACCCTGAAGCGCACAGTACTAGAGCAGCAAAGGCCAGGACAAAGTTTTGAAGAAGGCTAGTTTGCTTGTTCATCCTGGTTCTCTTTTCCTCCTTTATTATGAAAATCGGCAAACACAGAAGTTGAAAAGAAAGGGCTGTGAACATTCAGATTCAACAGCGGGATACAGCCTCACACTACCACTCAGCCTGTTTTTTCTGAACCATTTGAAAATAGGCCACAGATGTCTTGACACTTCAACCCTAAATATTATAATACACTTCCTAAAAATAAGAACATTTTCCTACAAGACCACAATAAAAATAACACACCCCACAAAACTGACAATACTTCCCTTATATCCAAAGCCTGGTCCACACGCACATTTCCCTGTCCTGCTGCACTTTTTACAGCTCTTTTCTTAAAGCCATGACTCAGTCAAGACTCATGTGCTGTGTTTGGTTTTGTGTCTATAGTTTCTAGTCCTTTCACCTCTAACCCTGTTTGCACTTATACCCGTGACACTGACTTTTTTTTATTTTGTGAGGATACCAGGCTTTGTCTTATAGAATACCCGACAATGTAGATTTGTCTATTTCCTCATGATGTCATTTCAAGTTGTTCTCTATCCCCTGCTTTATAGAAATGAGGTTAAATCTAAAGGCTAGTTTAGTGTCACCTTAAATACTTTTGGTGAGACTCCTTTGTAGGTGATGCTGTGTTTGTTTTTCCTGCTGGAGGAATAACATTTGGGAGGAACAATACTGAGCTATACCTCAGAATCAGAATAGTTTTATACATATACAGACATACATGATATGTAAGAGTGTGTGTGTGTGTGTGTGTGTGTGTATTAACACACATACATATATAGAAAGAAAGACAGGGGCGCCTGGGTGGCTCAGTCAGGTAGGTGTCCAACTCTTGGTTTCAGCTCAGCTCATGATCTCGTGGTTTCATGAATTTGAGCCCCACATTAGGCTTCTTGCTGGCAGTGTGGAGACTGCTTGGCATTCTCTGTCTCCCTCTCTCTCTGCCTCCCACCCACCTGTGCGGTCTCTGTCTCTCTCAAAATAATTTAAATAATAAACTTAAAAAAAAAAAAGACAGACAGACAACATGCCTAGGGTCCTGTCTGGCCCAGAACAATGAGA